CTACTTACTCAATTGGCCGTCGGCCGTGGCAATAACGTATGGGGTGTGGACGCACAAGATAATGTAATATACTTCAAATTTTCTTAATCATAATGAGAAGGTCAATATTCACTTTTAGGTATTACAGATATTTCGATACATAAATGGCACTTGGCGTCAAGTTCCAGGAGCCGCTACGTATGTTGGTGTTGGTGCCGACGAAACCGTCTGGGTTGTTACTCGATCCAATTCTATTCATGCATGGGTCGATTATACATGGTAATTGGCTAATATATTACTCCTCTTCATTCCTCTTCATTTATTCCACGGCTTTACAGTGTTTTTGCTTTGCTATACTACATATTATAGGATACAGATTCCCGGCGCGTTGGCTCAAATATCAGGCAAATTTATTGCTTATTACTTTTTTTTTTTTTAAATTACAATTAACTTTTTTTCATTTTTAGTTGGTGATAAAGCTCATGTTTGGGGAGTACACAATTCAAGCACTATTTATTTGCGAGTTAATGGTGATATAAACACTAATGGGACATGGGCACTAGGTTAGTCAATTAAATAAAACTGATGACTCTTAATCCGGTTTTTAAATAGTTTTGAAACTTCTAGTTCCTGGTTTGTTGATTGATGTATCGGTAGCTTCTGATGGAACGGTTTGGGGTGTTAATAGCAACCATGATATTTATAAATGGGCTGGATACAATTGGTTAGTATTTTTCTTTGTTTTAAACCTTTTTAATTTCATAATTTTAAGCATTATTTCAAATAGGGTACAAATAGGTGGAAAGCTCAAACAAATTTATGTTAGCAGCCGAGATCTTATTGTTGGCGTAAATGATTATAATGAAATCTATCAATACGTTAATAATACTTGGCGCCAGATAGATGGTTCACTCAAATATGTTGCAATTTCTATAGATGGCATTTTATGGGGTATTAATAATTATAGCGAAATTTTTACACGTCAAGATAATTTGATTAGTCAGACATATTTGAATAATAATTCACAAACCACTAATAATAATAATTCACAAACCACTAATTACGAGCAAAGTCATTCAAACATAATCATAGGTCTAGGTGTAGGCTTAGGTCTAACAGTTATTATCTTTATTATTGCAATTGTTATTATTGTTCGACATTACAAAAAAGCTTCAGTACTTAGAATCCCACGTTGAAATGCCTAGATGCTTTATACAGTTAGTGGGCGGCACGCTAAAATTTCTAGCTAGTTAAGCCTTCAAACTCTTATTCATCTTAACCTGCTAATCCGGCTAAAAATTTTACTTTTTTGTTTTAATTATTTATTATCCTATATAATTTATTATTAACATAAAATTTACCATAAAATATTACGTGTCAGATTTTTTTCATTTACAAATTTAGTAAATAAATAAATATTAATAATATAAAATTATGCAAATAATCCCTTTTCAAGACTTAGTATATTAGTTAAATTTTAATAATTGAATTAATTCATGATTCAAATTTGATAAATGGATTAATAAATTTGTAACCGCGGTTACTGTAACCGCATCCAATAATAATAAAGCCAATCAAATTTTAAGATCAGGTGTAACGTGAAATCAAAACAAAAAAAAAATTTTTAAAAAAATCGTTAATAACTCAAAATTTTGACTATGAAACCATTCTTTACAGTCTAACAAAAAAAATTCCTTGCAAAATTTTGATATAAACTAGTCCTTTCCTATTCCTAGCCTCACCCTAACCCTAACCTTAATTGCAAAGTTTATTTTTATAAAAAAAAATTGGTTTAATAATTACGTTACACCTGATCTTAATTACGGTTACTGTAACCTACCGCTACGGTTACAAAACAATTAATTCTTGATAAATTATAGAATTTTGTAAATTACATGCGGTAACACTAGCATAACCCGCCGTAATTTGATAAATACATTGATTATTACAAGAAGCTGGAGAGTTGTAATTACATTCTTGATATTCCTTTTATAAACGCATTAAGATTGTAATTTCAGTTATCAAAGCACGTAAAATATGAGTTCTCTGTTATAATTAAGATAACAATAATTATAAGTTCAATGTAGGTATTATGTTAAGTGGCAACTTGAATATTTTATCATATATATTAATGATTGCTGAATTACATATTACCGATTTATCTTTGACACTTTATCTTTTTCAAATTTAGAATTATAACTCTAAGTAACGTTATAAAATTTATACAATTTTTTTTATAAATAGAAAGTGGTTAAAATTGTAAAAAAATAAAACTTTTCATCAATGATGTAGAATTTATTTTATATGAATCTACCGTGTTTGCGTGTGATAACGAGCCGGGACGTTAATTTGAAATCGCCTTTTCAAAAATTAGCTGAATTATCCAAAATATTGCCCATGCGCGTCCCGAAATAATTACATCACCTTTTATGTAACTTAATGCGTTTATAATTAGTTTGTATATTATTCTAATTTAATATGATAACCCTAATTCTTAATTGAAGATGTAAACTTTCTAATTTCATTCTATCACATAAATTATGTCTCTTCCATAATAAATGCACCATAATCATAAAATATAAGCTCTATGTTTTATTGTCAAGTCTACTGAGTCTGTCTGATTCACCATCGATGCTTGGCAAGCAATTTCCTGATTATAATATCACCATCAGTGCTTGACAAACAATTCCCTGATTATATTAAAACGCTAAAAAACTAGACCATCTGAATCAATAAAACACCGAATACTAAATCATTAAATCATGAAATGTGTCAGCTTGTATATGGATAGACTATAGTACCTTCCCCATCCCTATAAAAAAAAATGTGCACGGGATTGATTACCTAGTTAATTCGCCATCCAGAATTTTTTCAAAGTAAAAGTTTAAGTTATTAGTTTAGGGTACGTAATTTGCTATTAAGTTAGAGCTCTAAAATGTTTTTTATATCAAAATTTTGCAAGGAAATTTTTTTTTTTTTGGTGCGCAGAAGGCGATTTCATAAACTAAATTGAGTTACGAATGTTTGTTTTGAAATTTAATTGGCTAATTATGATAATTGAAAAATTTTTGGGTGGTGATTTAACCCATGTTCAGATTATTTCACTGACAATCACTAGCCAACACTAACTATAAAGCGGGCCAACCCTAATGTTGTTAGACAAAACTCTTTTGCAAAATGACAAAGACGAAATCTGCTACTCCTTAAATGACAAAACCTCTACGAGACCTACAAAACTTGTGAAACCTGTGAAACCACGAAACCTCTATAAAGACCTATTTCTTTAGATGCCAAAATTTTCTAATAAAGTTGAAGCCCCTATAAAGAATAAAGATTTTAGTAAAAGATAAAGCCTTAAAGGCTATGTTATTGTTTGGATGCAAAGTTATTATTTTGGTATAATCATCGATAAAAACTTGATGTAAAGCCGCCTTGTTTGGATGCAAAGCTATTTGGATGTGAAACTATTGTTTAGATGAAACCATTGTTTTTGGTATAGTTCTTAATTAAAAGTGACATAATATTTTAAATAAAGAATTATAATTTTTGAATAGTCTGATTAAAAAGGGTATTATTGTTTAGATACAATGCCATTACATTTGTGCAATCCCCAATTAAAGACTATGTTATAGTTTGAATGCGATGTATAAGTTTAATAAGTATAAAATAAATTAAAATACATATTAAATCTTGCATATTTATAAATTGTGGGTGTAAAATTTAATAGCAATAATTAATAATTATTTGAAGATAGATTAATGAATAAATATGTAAATATTAGGTTTAGGTCGCAGATAACTCCTATAACTTTTGAGTTAGCAAGGGCTCTGTCTGAGTCTCTAGTCTTAGTATC